GCGCGACGACCACCACGCTATAACATTACACAGTTGAACATAATCAACACTTATCATTGAAATATTCGTCTTTCTCTTTATTTTTTATCAGGTATATGACCATAGTACATTCAAGCCCACGCCCACCACATGTAAGGATTCGTACTGCAACAGTGGCAACAGTCAGTGCCTGGATTATTTCCATTGTAGTGGTAACACCCACGGCTTTGTTTACTGACATCAAACTATATAATGATGGCCCTCACGTTTCCTATTACTGTAGCGAGTTTTGGTCACAGGACAATATTGTGTGGTTGAAAGCATACGACATGGTTATCTTGTTTTGTGAGTTCATCATCCCCATTGCAATCATGTGCTTCTGTTATCTTAGAATTGGCACTAGGATTTCTGAAGATCGCCTACCATCCAATACTGCCAGAAGAGGGCGCAAACAATCGCAAAAGCGCATGACCCGTCTGCTTGTTATTATTGTGATAATATTCGTGTTCTGTTGGATGCCATTTCATGCTTATACAATATTTCGCGACTTTTTTCCCCTGATACACAACACATATGTCCACAGTGTTACAATTTTTTATGTTGTAGAGGCAATAGCAATGGCCAATAGCATGGCCAATACAATTATTTATGTGGGACTGAATAAGAATTTACTGCGCAAGCTCCGCACATTAAGAAGAAGATCCTTGTCCTAACACCATGTGGTAAATTGCCAGCACCCCTACCATCACTGCCATGAATTAACAGACAGTTTGTCGATCTTACACTTAGACACTAATAGAAGTGTTGTCAGTAAGAAAATATTTTTTTTCTCTGGAGACATGCAGAAGAGTCATTCTCGAATTGGAAGGTTCAACGTAAAACAGTGCTGACCTATATTACTATTATCACGTTGTGAAACATGTTAACTCGATAAGTGAATAGCATTATTATTGTCTTAATACATATTTGTATTGGCAGATATATGCATAGCCTTGCATGGTCGACGTAGAGTCTGTGTAAAGGGACTCGACAATAGTTATTGCGCCCTCCCGGAGAGAATCACAATCACTCAAGCGAATCTATTGACGAGGGCGCCGATCGGGCTATTAGCACACTCCAAACACTGATGGTGCTCTCACTGGATGGCCCGTGACCCTTGTAGCGCAGGATGGGTTTCCACCACAGCCACACATTATTTCCTCTTCATCTAATCCTCGTGAATTTGAAAGACTAGTGTAAGTAGTTTTGATAAAATAAAACCGACTTTGATTTGCGAAAGGTTTGGTTTCCTTTAGCCAAGCATTATGGAAAAAATAAATATTGTAACGCCCTCATGCGACATTACGTGGAAATTGCCCGATGACGTTCCTGCTGAGACTTGTCACTCAAACTACGTCATACACCGGTCAACCAATCATGAGCGAAACGGGTCACCAATAAATATTCAAATTTGTCTACGCCATTTTCTGCATGCATAATTAATATCAAGGCGAGTCTTGCAAGCTACAACAGTCAGTAAGTTGACTTTTTTTATATGTACATTAATGTGATTTATTGGTGATAATTTATTGTACACAAGTTTCATGTTAATTTCTATGTATGAATATATATTGATGAGGTTTAGAGAATTAAAATAGCTTAGTTAATTGTATGCCCATTGTCATCACCATTCATTGTGTGCTCTCGTGTGCGTGGCCATTTTTTGGATCTGTGACAGCAACAACATAAATGTATACGGAATGTTTTAATACAAGCTGATGAGATAGTAATTACATGATTTGCATAATGATTATTCAAATTTCGGCTTTCTTATTGTATTGATATCTCAGGTACTAATCTTCACCTTACAATGACATTCAGCTCTTAGATGCTCTGTAACAGACCTTATTAGTTTAACATTAACATCTACGCATCTTAATTACCTGATTTGTATAATAATTAGTCAGTTGTCAGCTTTTCCATTAAAATATCAACTACTTACCATTTATTTCAATAAAAAACTTGGTACATAAATACTGGGATAATGCAACGTTATAATTAGTTTTAAGTTTATATTCATCCATAATAATTGCCTAATTTGCATAATAATTTACTTTTTAGCTTTACACAATTGTTTAAGAATTAACCAACAAACTCAAATGAAGCTTGGTACATATGTGCCCGGAACAATACACATATCTAATTCGTTTTGGGTTAAAATGTATTAATAATAATTGTTAATTTCCGTAATAATTACCCTATATCTAAAAAAACAAAACAATTATTGCATTTCAATAAGACTTGGTATAAGAGTGCCGAGAACAAAGCTAAGGACCTAATTAGTTTTGCATTGAAATTCGAGCATAATAATTACTTAATTTGCATAATAATTACTTAATTTGCATAATAATTACTTAATTTGCATAATGAGCATAATCATCACATTGCATTGATATTTGGTTCATATATGCTTTTTGGTTATCCAAGAACCTGATTAGTTGAATTTTGTAAAACATGCATTTCGATTATCTAATCATTATCAGTGAATTTCTGATATCCCAGAAAATCGGATTTAAACATAACTTGTGATAGAGGTGTTCTAGAATAAATTAGACTGCAAACCACAGATGTACAAACAAATTGAATTTCTTTAAGTAATATAAACTTCAATATTGTGGATCACATTGTTTTCATGTTGTGCATCTCAGATAGCTGACAGATTTAAACAAATATTTTAAATGTAATGTCTATGTATGACTTGAAGTCCAGTGTACACCAAATCAGTGTATTCATAGAAGTGACACTGACAAAGAGATGATGGAAAAGATCTGCCGATATTCCTCTTTTGATGTTGAGAAGTGCATGGTGTAGGATACGACCCGATGTAAATGCAAAAATAGTACCCGCCCTTTGTGAGATAGAAGAAAGATTTAGAACTGAAATATGAATTGATGTAGCTAAAAATATCAACTTAAACATTATTGTTTTTATTGTTTTTTCAACAATAGTATAATCTTATAACCCTATAACACTGGCGATTTGTTTATCAATGGAATATATTTATACACAAAAAACATGTTTTATAGACATGTATTTGTCTTTTTACTTATTTCCAATCGTGTATTCACTACATGTATATTTAATTTAAAATTTATGACCATTTTATTAACCATGGCTATAATAATTGAGGTTTCAGACATCAAAAACCAACGCCATTGTATTCAGGTGTCAGCAAAAATGTGGAACTTCCTCAGGATGCCCATTTCATCTATTAAACGTAATCCCAGTATAGACATCTATGAAGAATTATGGCACTGCGTCAATAGCGAGTTCCGCATCTATGAATGATCAAGCGCGGTCTCCATGGCAACAGCCACAAATATTCCCAGTTGCAGTCCAATTCTTTCAACTCCTATATTACAACCCGCTAAGACGGGAAACATCTCCATGGCGACGATGACGTTGTTCATATGCGAGCAGATGTCCGTTTGCCAGGTTAAATTGTTTGTGAAAAAAAAACACTGCAGGTCTCCATAAACAATGATTACGTATTTTGCGCAAGATTGTATTTGTAGTCGTAGCTAGTAAACGAGCTGTCATTGCTCATTAATGTTAATTAAGGCTTGGCTGAACACATGAGGTGGAATACATTTAACAATATACTTAAGCTAACTTAATTTATAAGAATGTTGAATGTATTTGTATATTTAGTAAAAGCATGCGTGTCGTAACATGATATGAAGGTGTTAAAATCCTCAATCAACGATCAATAAAAAAAACATGCTATTTATTTCAATGATCTAGGATAATTGAATATAATAGAGTGCGTTCATGAACTGCATTGTTTACGCTATTCTAGCGTGGTTTGAGCGGATGCTATATTGAAACCGATTTAATATCCATTCTTTCCTTCAATTGAGTGGTTAAGTAAGTGTGCTGTGTAGAATATAAATGAACTATATCATGCGGTTATTTGCCTCTCAGACTAAAGTATACGAGTAATATAATAGCAAACTCGTACAATGGAGGGGGGGGTAATCTTAGGACGTTTTATAATGTTCTGCTTGTTTGTGACACTTGACATATGCATGTAGCATGTACTGTCAATCCGTTTTTTTTATTTTGACTGATCGTTTCAAAAGAAATAACTATATGTCTATGATTCAAAGCCCATGGCGGAGTCGTTTAATATTTAGTTTTTAAACGTCTGTTTGTATTTATTTAATTTATTTATTTATTTATTAACACACAACATCCCCCGGAGGGGATGAAAAGGGTTACAAATCAGATATTAGTAAAAGAAAAATAACCACATTGTATAGATCTGTAACCTCGACATCACCGCGATTACTCTGTTAGACCGTTACGCCATTGTCTAACGGTCCATCTCCGTTATATACATTCAAAAAGTAGACTGGGTGTATGCAAACGGCTTAAACAAGCATCAAGTGACTACAAATGTTGATCGGTATCTTGCTATACCTCATGCATGGCGTTCATATATGTTAGCTACATACTAAAGTCGTTAACATGCCGTTGTTATATTTATATTAGCGTTATATCGATCTCGGAATCAAAACAATGGCTCCTAGCTGCTTCCATCTAGACACATTTTCTGCGTCGATACATCGATGCTGATATAATGGATGTTTCTGAACAATCCAGTGTGGCCATGATCCGATGAACCTAGAATGAATTACGCTTTCTCTTACAATGGCACTTTAGCAGGATTAGTAAAATAACTCCCCTTACTTTAGGACTCTGTTCCTATGTGTATTAATCTGATTATTCTGTTAATCACTCATCTGTATGAGTACTGCGATTGTACTATTTACTGTTTTAAAAAAATACAAATATATTTATAATAATTTCTGTAAAGGTCATTATAGGTAGGTGTCATGCTGACTGTCACGCCGTACTAAGGTCATTTCGGTCACAGTTCAATAGGGCGGACAAACAATGGGAGCCATTCGTTGTGAATAAACAAAAGCAAGATAGTGGAAGTAATCCCTGGTTGACCTCTCGAAATGACCCCTTGCTTAGTGCTTCTCGCGATACAAGCTACGTCACTGTAATTGGTGTAGACACATCAACTCAGAGGCAAGTTACCACACACTAGACGTTTTGAATCCGTGGCTGACCTAGATAAGCGACGACAGTCATCACACGTTCAGAGCACAGGTTTTCGCGATGGTCGATGCTGAAACTATCGCCAATTCGAAGACAGACCTACAGGTCGAGAAGATTAGGAACTTTCAAGTACGAACGGATGACATTTTTGTCGTAACGTATCCAAAGTCTGGTGGGTGCATAGTACATTTCACTGTCACTGTATGTATGTAAATGGCGTACATGTATATGTATTGTATATCTATTACAGATGTTCAGAACTCGGCTCACGCTTCTAACACACATAGGGTCTGAACTGTTAAGGCATATACTAGTGTTTCTTAGACCATGACTTTGTCCGGGCATGTTAGCGATATTGAAACCATAATATATTGCCAATATAGACGCATTGTACGCAGAGAGAGCGTTCGAAACGTGTGTAGAATTTTATGATGTTATACATTTATGTAGCGGTCCTATGGAGCCATACAATGAATGCATTGCCGATTCGAACACTTATATTCAGTGTTTACGTAGTTTTGATCGTGTCGATCAAAGGTGTTTTTAAGTGTCACGTCCGCATACTGTGGTCAACTCCATGGCACATATTTATCTTTATTGCATAATCGTATTTTATTTGGATATTGACTCAGAAAAAGAAAATGACAATAAAGACGAAAAACAGAGGAAGTAGCAAAATGGAAGCGCTAAAACAGAAAACAAAAAAAAGAAATAATTTATTTAGTTGCAGCATGTAGGTTTTTGAAATGATTTTCCCTGGCACTGAAACAATTATAGATGTAGCTCGCTAGTTTAGTTATTTTTTGGCTGTTATTGCTTGTTAGCATTGTAATCAATTTATTGGTATTTGTGTTGTTGCAATGTATTAAATTTATTTCCTTCAACATTTTAGTCTTCTCATTTTCATACAGCTTGCATTCCAGTAAAAAGTGCATTTCGTCTCCAATCTCATTTTGGTCAATGCACTGCAAGGATTTTTTTGTATCGTCCTTTCTCTATTTCTAAATTATGGGCGCTAACTCTCAATTTTGTTAACGCTGCTCTATGTTTTGCATTTGTTACTGCTGCGCGTCGATCGATACCCCCGCTGTACCGCTGTCTTCGTGCATACTTCGAGGTATCTTCGTAATAACCTCATATTATCCTCGAAGTTGTTCTTGTTAATTCGTACGACATCAAACAAATTACGAGTAATTTACGGAGTTATTGCGTTTTCAGCTATGAATATAAGGCCTGTGTGATATTTTCATAAAATTGACAGTATTTTTACGACAATACAATCTGATTAAATTCTGATGTAGTGTAACGGGCTTTAATTATTTTGGCTATAAACTTATTTTAATTTTATTTTTCATTATATTTGTTATTAATGCCCTTTTATTTAATTATTTTACTTTGATTTTGATGATTTTTTTAATTCCGCCCTACCTACATCTGAGCCCGATGCCTATGTAACGAGATTTCAACGAGACCCACTATCGACGAT